ATTCGCCTTGTCATGCCTGTTTTGCACAGGGTAGGGACGACCGCCGCAATCAGTGACCAAACTTGGGGATTGAAATAAGTCGGCTGCCTCTCTCCAAATTGGTCCATAGTGGGAAATGATCTTTTAACGATGTATTGTCAATGCAGAGACCAACACAGGCAATGTCCATTCGACCATGCCCCTCAACCACGACACTGTGTATTTCTACACGATGCTGCATCTTGTCCCACGGGGCTTTCCACTACCTTTATTGGTGACCATGGAGAACCACTACACAACGTGGCAGGCCCATGGCGAACCTGAAGACAGCAGACGCCACTTTGCAGCCAGCTTCTTTTGGGCGATCGCATGGAGAACGCCAGGCAAAGAACCCATCGGGGGCCTGCCTCGAGACAAGTCCACATCGAAACGTAACCCCAACATGATCAGTCTTCTTCATGAACAACTTTGGCCATGTAGACCCTGATAAGACGCCTCTTATCGCCAGGTGGAGGGGGCGACCAGAAATCGTTAGCGCCGCGCTCACCGCCCGGCAATTGAACAAAAAATTTGGTCCCCAGACGCCCGTCTCCGTCTCCAGTCGGTCCCCCATTGAGTCTGCTCCCAGCGGTTTTGGAAGGACAAGGACTGCCTCCCGCCGGTATCAACGGTCTTCAGAGAACTCCCTCCCTCCGCCCCCGATCGACAAGCCACCTCAACCGCTCCTTGTTTGAGATCAAAATGGCGACCAAGGCCGCCGCCACCGGAAGCAAGCGAAAGGCTGCCCCCATGGGCAAGGCCACCTCCGACAAGTCGGCCAAGAAGGTCAAGACGGACGCCCCCAAGAAGAAGAAGAAGGCTGCGCCCGTCGAGAGCCCCGCCGACAGCAGCGACGACTTTGACGGCATCGACGACGACGAGTCTGACGGCGGCGCCAAACTCGAGCAATCGCCGCCGCAGAAGAAGAAGTACGACGGCAAGGCCAAGGCCGACAACATCACTGGCGTCGGAAAGCCCGTCATTAGTACGCCCGCCACGTTCCCAAAAGAAAAAATACAAGAGACCATAATGCTAACTGACCACCAGCGGAATCCTCCAAGGAGGCCCACGCTCTCCAGAAGAAGCTGGCCCGCGAGCGCAAGGCCGCCAAGCCTCTCGGCGATGAGGTCCAACGCACCAAGAAGATCTGGGAGCGCCTGAGGAGAAAGTCCCACGTCCCCTCGGAGGAGAGGAAACAGCTGCTCGAGGAGCTCTTCACCATCATCACCGGCCGTGTCAAGGACTTTGTCCTCAAGCACGACGCCGTGCGCGCCGTGCAGACGGCCATCAAGTACTCCAACGCCGCCCAGAGGAAGCAGATTTGCACCGAGCTCCAGGGCACCTTCTCCCAGCTCGCCGAGAGCCGATACGCCAAGTTCCTCATCGCCAAGCTCGTCGTCCAGAAGGAGCCCGAGATCAGGGACATGATCATCCCCGAGTTCTACGGCAGGGTCCGCCGTCTCATCAACCACCCCGAGGCCTCGTGGATCCTCGACGACATTTACCGCCAGGTCGCCAGCAAGGAGCAGAAGGCCATTCTCCTGCGCGAGTGGTACGGCCCCGAATTTGCCCTGCTCGAGCGCAACAAGAACGAGAAGCCGACCTCGGACCTCGCCGCCATTCTCGAGGAGTCCCCCAGCAAGAGGGGGCCCATCATGAAGACGCTGTGCAACATGATCAACTCGCTGGTGCAGAAGAAGATGACCGGTTTCACCATGCTCCACGACGCCATGCTGCAGTATTTCCTCAACATCAAGCCTGGCAGCGACGAGCACACGGCCTTCCTCGACCTGCTCCGCGATGACGAGAGCGGCGATCTCTTCAAGAACATGGCCTTTACCCGCTCCGGTTCGCGTCTCGCGTGCCTCCTCCTCGCCCACGGTTCTTCCAAGGACCGAAGGAACATCCTCAAGGTCTACAAGGACAACTTCGTCCTCATGTCCGGCGACGCCAATGCCCACATGGTCATCCTCACGGCGTTTGACGTGATTGACGACACAAAGATGACGTCCAAGGTGATCTTCTCTGAACTCATCGGCGACGACGAAGAAAAGGTCGCCGAGAACATCATCGCGTCCATGAACAACCAGTACGCCCGGGCCACACTGATGTACCCCATCGAGGGTCAGTCCAAGGCCCTGTTCCTCTCCAACATGAGCGACGACAAGGCCATCCTCCAGGAGGTGCACGAGATCCGCAAGACGACGAGTAAGAAGGACGACCACATTCGACGCGCAGAGCTGGCAGCCGTCCTGGCACCATCCCTTCTCAGCACCATTGCCGCCGCCGCCCCAACGCTGCTGGCAGACTCATTCGGCTGCCACATCGTGACCGAGGTCCTCCTGTCCGTCGAGGGCGACAAGACGAAGGCGCTCGAGGCCGTCGCCGCCGTGGCCGAGGGCGACCCTACCGCCGAGCCCATGGAGCTCGACAACCACGTCGCGCAGCAGGCCCACGTGTCGCAGACGGCCTGGGGCGGCCGTGCGCTCAAGACGCTCATCGCCGGCGGCAAGTACAACAAGCAGACGGGCAAGGTGGAGCAGGTCGAGCCCCCGCTCAAGTTTGCTGACGCGCTGTACCCCGTCATCGAGGACCACGTCGTTCAGTGGGCCACGGGCCCCAGCTCGCTCGTGGTGCTTGCGCTTCTCGAGAGCCCCGACTTTAGCCACGGCAAGGAGCTCAAGGCGACGCTCAAGAAGAGCAAGAAGCAGCTGCAGGCTGCCGCGACGGAAGAGACGGCGGAGCAGAAGGCCAGGCGGGAGGCCGAGGCCGAGGCGGCGGGGGAGGACAGCGACAAGGGTGACAAGAAGGCCAAAAAGGCAAAGAAGGGCGGCGCCAAGCCCGAGAGGCCAGTGGGCAACTCTGGCACCAGACTGTTGCTGGAAAATTTGTAAGGAAGGCGTTGTTGCGTTGGGGGACGACGGCTGGCGTAGTTTGTTGCTTTGGTAAATGTGTATGTATTGAGGACAAGCAAAAGGATCTTGTCGCGGCAAATGGCAATCAGCCACTCGAATAGAGTCTTGTGGGTGACACGGATACCCCCCCCTTATCATGCCACTGTCTCATCTCACGGCGCGATCGTCCGGCTTTTGTTTTGGCGTGGCCTGGTGGAGGGATGCCTGGTGCCTCTCCAGGTGCGTACGTCTGATAGGAGCCCAGCCAGCGTCACTCGTCGTGCGGTCTCCCGATGGAATGAGGTCGTGAAGAGTCATTGGACGAGCTGAGCTGTCACCCGTCGTTTCGGTGCAATGCTACATAAGACATGGTGTACGAGAGTGACACTTGGACGCCCAGAGGAGTTGTTGCCCTAGCAAGGTAGTTAGACGTGCTCTGCTCGTAGTAACCCGATGTGTAAGGAGAAAAACATGTTGCTCGCTCATCAATGAATCGGCAATGATGCGTATTTGCTGCCATCATAGCGCTGTGTATGGCAATACCTTTCGATATGGAAATGGAATTACCCCCCTCATTTGCTGACGAACTTACCGGGTTATCATCTCGCTGATTGCTGACTTGGACGCGTTCAACTGGCTGGTGCGTTGTCCATCGGTTCACGAGGATGTATGCCACGCTTCTATATGCTTGTCACAACAACCTGCCTAGGTACGCGCTTGAAGCAAAGTCAGAACAAGAGTGTGTTGCTCTACTACGGTACTTACTTCCGCACCTTCCCAGCAGGCAGGACAAACCAGCTTTTCTTCCACCCTTCGATCAGACTGCCCGCAGAAATAGGTTGTTGTTTCCCACAACAGTCTCGTATGACTCTCCTCCCACAACTCTTCTTCTATTTCGCCCATCGACGGTACGTCAAAGTGTTCTGATCAGGCCAACTCGACGCCCTGGAACCTAGTATCATTCACTGCCCCTCCGTCTGACAACATCGTCCTCTAAGGGTTTTCGTAACTTCCCATATTGGACGTGCGTTCGCTCCTGTTCTTCCCTTTCTCCAGCCATTCATTTCTCTCGTCCCCTCTCAAGCTACGAAACGGAAACCGTCCAGAGCTTGTACACTTCACATGCAACGACCGACCTGAGCGGCATGCAACTACCCATCGTCGCTCGTTGCTGCACACCAATATCACCCTCAGCCAGCCCACACCAAATATAACGTCATGCGTCGCAGCCCTTCCCCTCAGTCGGGCACTGAATGCTCAGACGGTCTGACCTTCTACCGATGCCGCACTAATCACTATGCAGGCTGTTGCTCGGTCGATCCCTGCGAGCTGCCCGGATGTCCTGACGACAGGGACAGGGTCACCGGCGAGGAGGGAAGCACCACTGGTGGCAACGAGGGCGATACGCCCGTAGATGGTGAGGACGGCGAAGAAGGAGGTGGAAAAGGAGACAAAGAAAAGCCTACTTTTACTCGCACGGCGATTCCCACGACCATTGCCTCCAAAGCGCCCCCGCTTCAGCCGTCTCCGACTGTGAACCACTCGAGTCCGGCTGCTGCGACGACCACAAACGTTGGCGCTCCAGGCAAAGAAGCTCCCACCACGCCGTCAGCTGTCGAGCCAGTTCCCACTCTAGCCCCTGGCAACTCTATTGCCCCTGAGCCGACTCTCGCTACGGGCATTTCTGCACCGACCAAGACAACCGATGCAGAGGATGCCGGAGACGGAGGCCTGTCCACTGCAGCCAAGGGCGGTATCTTCGGCGCTATGGGCGCTGTTATGCTCATCGTCATCGTCGCCTTTTTCCTTTGCGGCAAGAGAGGCAGGAAGCTCAGAAAGTCACTCACTGCTGGAGGCACCATTTCTGACGACGACCCTCTCGATGGCAAGGGCGGACTCCAGCCCTTTGGCATCCCCCCTACTGGCATGATCCAGGAACTTAAGAATCCCGGTATTCTTGCCCCCTTTGGAGGTCTGTCGTCATTTCATCAGCTTTCAGAATCAAAATTGATGGTTGACCACATTTTCAGATCACTACGAGGAACCTCACTCTCGATTCACCCGCGCCTGCGCTTACAACAGATCCCATCGTATGAAGAACGACCCTCTCAGCCCTGTGTCTCTTGCCTCTCCCGCCACCATAGATCTTGAGCCCCAATCCTCCTTCGTGGAACCTTCGCGTCCGAGATCCGTGACCCCCGAGTTCTCTCGTACGGACGCATCAACTCCCGAGCTTCAAGGATCACCCAAGCGAGCCGCACTTGCCGAGCTTGTGTCGCCCGGTCCCCCCAAGCTCGTTCAGATCCCAATGAACCGTCAAAGCATGCAGCGCTACAAGGCCTACCGCCCGAGTGAGCAGATGCACCCTCTCTGTGAGGGCAGCTCGGCCAGTCTGCGAGGAGACCTTTCCGCCACCCCTGATGAACGGCACCAGAACAGATATGTCAACAGTTGGTCTCGGTGGGATGCGGCTGCTGGTCACTGATGGGTTGGATGCCATCTGAAGAGGTCGCAACAAGTCTTGGTGGGGGTGTTCGAAGGGGTTGAGGGTCCGAGGAACAAGTGTCTTTGTTTTGGTTCTGTTTCTGGCGTTGGGTATACCCGCGGCTGCTTTCCACGATTAATACCGCCTTTGGCTTCGTGTACATCTTGTCGCAGTTCAATACTAGTCATCTGCTGACATTCGCCACGTTGCAAACTACAGCCAGTGTGCAGTGCATGGCTATCGCCTTTCGTCCTCGAAGAGAATCCAAATATCAGGGCACCGCCCTGACGAGATCATGGTCAGGATCCAAGACCGAGACATTCGACCGAGCTGTTCACAGGGGCAAGAGAAACTTGATGGGTATTCAACACATACAAAGCAATCTGTCCGTTCCATCCCTCCCGTCCCGTCCGGTGAAAGAGCCGGTAATACGCCTAACAACATGCAGTCATGTCTCGAATCGATGCGCAGCCTGATGACTGCTGCCTACCTTTGCACTCGTCCCTTTTATCCCTGTGCCTGTCCCGAGCGTCGCCGTCTATGGAAAAGCCCTGCACCACCGTGACGTTGACCACCATCCACGGGAGCGGCCTGTCCTTTTCTACAAGAGAGTGCGATGGGAAGGTGCCCCGTTGCCCACTCTCGCCCATGTGTCCGGCACGTCACCTGCTCTGCAGCTTACTGATCTCGTCGAGAAGCTCCTGGAGGTCTTCGTCGGTGATCTTGTCTTGGAGGGACGGGATGAGCGTCTTGGCCTCTTCGGCCGTCTCGCAGCAGAGAGAGCCTACGTAGATTTGCAATGGTCAGCAGTCTGGAGCAACGGTACAGACTACCGCTTTCCTGCGAGGGCAGGCAAGGGAGTTCGCGCGGAGGAAAGGGACGAACCTATTTGCGCGCGCTCAAACTTGGCGAGCTGCTTGTGGGCGCTGAGCAGTCGCTCGACGGCCTCGACGTTTTCTTTCTGGCGGAAGCGCGAGAAGGCATCTAGGTAGTTGAGGGTTTGCGTGAGCATCCTGCAGCGAGGCGGCGTGTCAGTTTTTTTTTTTTGAGTCATTCATGGCTTTCTGCTGGGACGACAGGAGAGTGCACGCGCCGTCGTGGGTGCGGCAGCGAAGGGGAGAGGGAGAAGGGAACACATGGCGTACTCGGTTTCGTTGACGTTCTTGCGATCCATCCGGCGCTTGGTGACGAGGGCGTTGATGACGAGCGAGGCCTCGGAGAGGGTCAGCGTGTCGACCTCCTGGAACTCGCCCAGCTCGAGCACGGCCTCGGCCTTCTCCTGGCCGGGGACCGGGGGGCGGGGGCGCGAGGTGGGCTTGAAGCGCTTGCGCTCCTGCTTCCGGGGCGGGATCAGTGTCGAGTCGCCCTGGTCGGCCATGGTGGAGGGGCGGTGCTGCGATGAGGTAGGTAGCCTTGTCGCGCCGTCGCGAGGTGGAGGGTCGTGCTGACAGGGGCCAATTTAAGTCGTATCTTATGGCTCGCGTTCGATTGCGTTGGTGGTCGAAAAATGATTGTCGCAATTGCTGATGGCGGGGATGCGTAGGTGGAAGATGGCGTGTCGTGCCTTGTCGTGAATGAGGCTGAAAGATTGAAGGAAGACCGAATGTCGATTCCCACCATCATGCACGGACCTGAATGTCCTTGGACCTAGCACGCTAGAAGGTACCTGGTGCCGGGGGGGGAGAGCCAAAGCTGTATCGGGGGGGGGGGAGGGATTCGCTCTGAGGCGTGTCTAGACAGTGGGCCATCCGCCCGCGCTTCACCCGTGCTCACCAGCCTGCCTGTACTCGGCCTCATATCGTCTCGAAATCCGACATAACGGTATTGTGCCAGCCACGTGTGATAACACCGTGAGATTGGACGTCTGAGCAGGCAAATGACGATCAACTCAACCATCTCATAACACCGCAGGAGCCGAAGACGAACCATGTACGTATGCCATCTCTCCGCCTCCATTGCCCACATGCTCATCGGCTCACAGGACTGTCTTCGCTGTCATCATCATCAACAAGGCCGGCGGTCTCATCTTTCACCGGACCTTTCACGAGGGTGGGCTCAACCAACTCAGCACGAATGACTACCTCGTTCTAGCGGGCACATTCCATGGGTGAGAGCTGCGCATCTTCCCCCCTTTCAGTCCGGGGCCACGCCGTGCTGACCTTGCCACCCCCTTTCCAGCGTCCACGCCATCACAGCCCGCCTGGATCCCATCAAGACCCAACCCAACCGCACATCCAACGTCCCCGGAAGCATACCGAGCCGGCCTGAGCCGCCGTCGGGCCTCGAGGTCATGGAGACGGAGAACTTCCGACTCCAGTGCTTCAACACGCTGACAGGGACCAAGTTCCTGCTCTTCACCGACACGACACAGGTCAACGTCGACGTGACGATGCGCAAGATCTACGACCTGTACAGTGACTATGTCATGAAAGAACCCCTTTTTACCAGCTGGAGATGCCCGTCCCGTTGCGGAGATTTTCGAACAGGAAAGCTGCTGTCGTACATGAGAAGAAAATCAACAATAGGGTGATAGCGTAATGACAGAATCAGCTTTGAAACCACACGAAATGAGAAGCGTGATGCAAACACATTTGGCCGGCCAGCCTTTCTCTGCATGCCTTGGGAGAGCAAATATTCGGCAGGCCGTTCTAAACCCTGGTATTTGTCTGTTCCTTGTTACCACCCCACTTGGATCTAAGGCTCCAAAGGAATGAACACCGCTCGCGGCCCTTGGGGGATCTATGGACGTGTCCATCTTATCGTCGTCCCTTCTTGTCCCTCCTTGTCGCTGCTACCGCTCGCCTCGCCCAGCAGCGGGGGCCGACTCGCCATCCTCCTTGATGTCGTCCCAGCGAAGCCTTCTGGGCAGCCCTCGGCATCCTCGCGTGCCTTCTTCTCCTGCCGCGCCTTCTCCTCCTCCATACTCATGCGCAGCGCCAGCGCGAGCTCCGGGTCCATGACGGGTCAAAGTCGAGCCCGTCAAAGTGCGCGCCTCGCGCGCACCGCGCGGCTCGCGCTGCCGCCACGTTGCCGGCGCCCTCGCCGAGCAATATCGGGGACGAGATGAGCTGGTCGCTGAGCAGCTTGGCGCTCGGGGGGATGACGACCAGATGTGAGCCCTCGCCTCCCTTGACGTTCTCGTTGAAGGCCTGCAGCTTCTGCTGGGTCTCGTCGTCGTCGTGGGCGCCAAAGAGCACAAAGTCGACCGAGACGTTGCCCTTCTTCATCTTCTTGGCGAGCTGCACCAGCTTCTTCTCCTCCTCCTCGATCGGCGAGCAGACAAAGACGATTATCCGTTGACGTTGCGACTTGTTTTGACGGTGCTTGAGAGCCAGCTGCGCGTGGAGGGGGGGACGATTAGTCAACCATGAACTGGTGCAGAGGGGTGGGTGTATCCCGCGGAAAGAGGGTGAGAGCTTTGCACGTACACCGGCGACCTGGATTCCTGTAGCAAGGTGCGAGGACCCCTTGATCTTGTTCTTCGTGCGATGGAGGCCCTCGAGAATCTTGCCCTGTTCCGTGGTGAGCGTGACAAGGACCTCGGGGCCCTTGCCGCCCATGCTCATTAATCCCACAGACGACTCGGGGTTGCTGTTCGTGATGGTCTGGAAGATCACGTTGGCGGCATCGGCCTGCGAGTCGAACCGTGTGGGTTGGTAGTCACCGTTGCGGCTGCTCTCGCTGTTGTCGACGACAACCATGACCGCTTCGAGAACCATCTTGGGCGGCGGTGCTCCGGGCTGAGTCGTAGGAAAGGGAGGGCGGGCGTGTCGACAGAAGGGAAGTGTGATGGTCGGAGACTGTGGCTTGCAATAGTGCGCGATTCTGTGTGTTGTTGACCGTTGGGATGACGTTGCGCAGGTTGCGATGGCCAGGGCTGGTCTAGAAGGCTGTAGAGGCGTGGATGATGTACAGCCAGCTTCACGACGAGAGCTCCTGTCCCGTCTGTCGTAAGGCAGTTCAGCCTAGCGGTCATCCATTGGTTGGTCGAGGGAAGCCCCACCTTCTCCATCTACATGCCCAAGTACCTAGATACCTTGGTACGCAAGGGCCATGTTCTTTTGGGGGAGGCCGGCCTTCCTTACGTAAGGCGACCTCGAGGCCCCGTCTCCCAGGTTTGTTTACACCCATACACCAGCTCCGTCCACTCACGAGCCGATCCTCCATCATCGGCGCTTCCACATATCAATACGACCTCTCAACCTTTCATCCTCCGAACGCACGACTTCTGTACTATCGAGCCCGACACGCCATCCAGATCAAGCAGAATGGCACCAGTTCGAGCGAACAGACGCGTGTCAGGCGACTCCCCAGCGCAGCATGCCACCTCCCCCGACAGACACATGATCCCTACAAAGACGGCAGCAACGCCGATACGCAAGAGCCCGATCAAGAAGAGGAAGGGCATCACACTCGAACAAAAGCAGGCCTTGGTCGAAAACCTCCAGCTTGAGAGTATGTCATGTCCAGACTGTGGGTGGCAAGGATCGAGACGCGTAGATACTGACACGCCTACCAGTCACAGACCGCGCGAGACGACTGCGTGCCCAGTATCATGCCCAGGCACAGAGCCTGCGATCGCGAGTCGAAATGCGCGTCAACAGAATCCCCAGATCGCTTCTCAAGTCCACCATGCAGGACCTGGTCGCCAAGTGCGCCGAGCAGCAGAAAAAGCTTGCCGCGGCTGCGCGTCCGCCGCCCGTACCGGAGAAGGACTTTGCTCCCAGGGCCAGCCCGATCAAGACAGTCAACGCGTCACAACCCCCATCGCGCCCCAGGAAACGGCTGAGGTTAGTTCACATCTGGTGCGTCGCTCATCATCATCATCGCTGACCCCGGCCAGTGAGGACATGGCAGGTGAC